CCTACGCTACAGTGACTTCGTGACGAATACAAAGTAGCACTGCTGTCAAATTGCTTTCTCTAATACAATTGTTTTATGAAGTCTCTCACTCGTTCACAATCGAAACGTTTGCATAAACAAACTTTTAATTATCATCATGTCTTTTACTTACTCACAGTCAGCAAGATTTTAGCATTTCACTTTCCCTCACTCATGCTAGAAAACACCAAATATTTTCATGTAATATTCTTTGGTAATTAACTCCTTCAACTTATCATCAATCAGAATAGAAGACCTTTTGTTTACTTCAGCTCTTACTGGTGTGCGGGCAGGCTGAGGGTGGATTTTACTTAGCTTAGAGCTTCTCGTGCTTCTTGTGTAAAGTCAGTTTCATCTATTACTGTCAAATTCTCTCTGCAATTCCCAAAAGTCTTGAATGAGCTCTAGAAGCAATCACAGAAAAAACGGTACACCAGCTTGTCAAAGGAAAAACCATCCGTTTGTCTAAAATGCGAAGATTATCACTCACTCTTCCAAGTGAAATGGGAAACAGAACCAATATCAGTTCAATCATGATCCAAACATTGTTCCCCCCGTCTTTGCCAACAAATGAAATAACTTATTGAAAAGTCCCTGTCCATAAATATGAAAAATAACTCGGCAAGGATCGACAATTCAGTTTCGCTCATATTTCTATGGTAGATAGGCTAGGGCATGACAAAAGCTACTAGATATTTTTTTTGGCAAAATATCCTTTTATTTTAAAGAGAAATGCAAATTACAAAATCCATGAAAATTGTCATTTGATGCACCATTTTATTAAACAAGTTTGAGAGCCTTGCATGCAAAACCACATTATTCTTCTGTCTTTAAAACACTCAAATATTTTTGAACAATGTTTAAATATGTACTAGCTTGATTTCGGGGAATGTTGCATTTCCTTTTCTGGTGCAAAATAATTAAATTTTGAAGATAGGTATTTCATTCACTTAAAAGTACTTGGTAAATATAATTAATTTTCACCATGTGTGAAACCTTGAATTGGATAAAGCTTCTGGTGGTTGAATCACAGAAGGATGGCCTACAGATTCCTGTAAAAATTTCTTTGGGCAAATGATTGTAAGTGATGCGAGGGCTTTTCAAAGTACGTTAAAAATGCAACTCTTTGACCTTCCATCATTAAATTTCAATTTACAGGTTTATAGATATATATATTTTAGCATGTGCCACATCACTTGAACCATATTAAGTTGTAAAAGACATAGCTGATAATTTCGAAATGCTCTAACCTTGCTGCAAAAGGCAGGTCCAAAACCGATTTGACGTGTTTCTCTCACCATTCGTCGCACATACATGTCAAGCAGTGAAGTTTGTTTCTGTTTACACAACATCCAATGCGTACATCGCCAACTGTCAACCTATTTAATGGTCGAATACCATGAATCTGTGCCCCCTCTCTGTAACACGATACAAGCCTATGCTAGCGCTGATTGAATATAGATTGAGATATTGGCATATTGTGACATCCTCCTGTTTTGAAAGTGTCTCCTAGTTACAGTTCATTTAAAACCTGAGACTCACGGTTAGGTGTCCCATCATAAAACAAGCATTTGGTCGATATTGCTCTCTGACTATAATAATAATAGAAAAACAAAACGCTAATAAATGTTCTTTGAATGTAATCTTTATATCGTCTCAGACCTGTCTGCAAACTGTTCAGGATACTGTTTATGTTGTCATGTAATCCATTAGATAGGCTGGTTGCCGTCTGGTGCGCTGTGGCGGTACTGGACTCTTAGATGCAGCCGTAGGAGGTTCGCTGGTGGTGTCAGAGGTGTTTGGTGTTTCTGTATGGGATACTTTTCGTGTGATCTTGGTTGGTGATGAGCTGTCGCCAGTATATCTCACAGGTGTTATGTGCGGTATCGTCGGGGCGTCAGGACTCTCTTTGGTTTTCCTCAGGTGGTAACGGTTCCTTCTGCATGTCTCTCCATCAGGCGTTTCCACTACATAGGATCTCTAATCTAGCCGTGATATGACTATACCTTTCTACCACACCTCAGTTCCTAGTTGAAAGGGTTTCATTTGTACAACATCGCCTTCTGCAAGGGTGGGCAAGTCATGAGTGTGTTTGTTGTAGTATTTGGACTGCTGTGCTTGTCGCTTTGTCAGGTCTTTCATTTCTCGGTCTGTTTGTGGTGTCCTGGGCTGAAGGAGGGCTTTCGTCATCGGAAGGTGTGTTCGTGTTCTCCTGTTCATTAAGCGTTTTACTAGGCTTGACTCCATTCCTTGGGTCAGTGCGTTACCATAGTCGAGTATCGCAATGTACGGGTCCATTCTGGAATCCAAGGCTTTCCAGATAAGGTTCTTTGCTGTTTCACTGCTGATTCCACTTTCCCATTTGCTTTACTGTTGCCAGGGCTGTTGGTTCTGTGTTCGAAGTCCCATTCTTTAGCAAACTTGGTAAACTCTGATGAAGGGAACTGCGGGCCATTGTCACTGGTCAGGCGGTCAGGGCAACCGTACCGTGCAAAATGGTTTTTGAGTTTCAGGATTATGGCTGCTGAGGTAATACTTGTTAGGCGGTCGACCTCCCAAAAGTTGCTGTAGTACCATGAATGTTTTCTAGTTTAGCTCGAACAAAAAAGATATCTAGTAGCTTTTGTCATGCCCTAGCCTATCTACCATAGAAATATGAGCGAAATTGAATTGTCGATCCTTGCCGAGTTATTTTTCATATTTATGGACAGGGACTCTTTAATTAAGTTATTTCAATTGTTGGCAAAGAGGGGAGGGTGGGGGGTAATGTTTGGACCATGATTGAACTGATGTTAGTTCTGTTTCCCATTAATTTTCGCTTGGAAGTGAGTGATAATCTTTGCTCCGCATTTTAGACAAACGGATGGTTTTTCCTTTGACAAGCTGGTATACCGTTTTTTCTGTGATTGCTTCTAGAGCTCATTCAAGACTTTTGGGAATTGCAGAGAGAATTTGACAGTAATAGATGAAACTGACTTTACACAAGAAGCACGAGAAGCTCTAAGCTAAGTAAAATCCACCCTCAGCCTGCCCGCACACCAGTAAGAGCTGAAGTAAACAAAAGGTCTTCTATTCTGATTGATGATAAGTTGAAGGAGTTAATTACCAAAGAATATTACATGAAAATATTTGGTGTTTTCTAGCATGAGTGAGGGAAAGTGAAATGCTAAAATCTTGCTGACTGTGAGTAAGTAAAAGACATGATGATAATTAAAAGTTTGTTTATGCAAACGTTTCGATTGTGAACGAGTGAGAGACTTCATAAAACAATTGTATTAGAGAAAGCAATTTGACAGCAGTGCTACTTTGTATTCGTCACGAAGTCACTGTAGCGTAGGATACAGGTTAAGGTAAGTGTACTGTATATAAGGTTCAATGAAAATGTTAACGAAATTCTCAGAGAACAAAGAAAAGAGTTTGATGAATTTCTTTTTATACCCAGCACAAAATAGTCTGGAAATTAAGCGCAGAGCTTCTCAGCTCCTGTACAGTCTCTACGGCCTTAGACTAGAGTAGATCATGTTTTTCTACCTGTACTGCCTGTACTGCCTCCATGTAGCCCTGTAAGTACTATATAGTACAATACTTACAGGGTTACATGGAGGCCGTAGAGGCAGAGAAACACTACTGCAAATTTCCAGACTTTTTTGGGACACATTTGCAATGCAATACTGAGGATCAACCACCTTAGGTAGCATCCTTAACCAAAAATTAGACTTAAATGACACCTATGTGCGTTTAAACCACTGCACTACGCTAAACTATAAGAGATTTTTCAGGTACTGTAACAAAGTCATTGCCTCACCAAGTCAGTCAACTCTTGCATAGTCTATAGAGATCACCAGCAGGTTGTAAAAGAGGCAAGTCATATTGGGTGTTAGGTTTTATGGTTTCAATGACTGTTTCATTTTTCTGTTCAGTTATACTTTTATTTTATGAAAGGAGAAAGTTCAACATAAACTGCCTGGTTTAAGTTTCCCCAAGCTTCTTGTTTACTGTATGTAATGCGAACATACAGAACTGTATAGTCAAGACTTGTTTAAGCATGGAATTTTAGCTTAACTTTCATTTTCAAGGTAATTGTTTGAGATATACGGTCAATATGTGGCGGTCTTTATTCATGCATTCAGCTGGGAGCCCACTATTGGTACCAATTTTTCAAGATTTGATTGTTATACTTAAATAAATACCCCAACCTCTCTTGGTAAAACAAGATAAAAATGAATGCAAACAAGAGCGAAGATCTTCGCTAATTGCTTCAAGTAACAGATAACAAATGGATGACAAACTATTTCATCTGTTTAACGGATAAGTGTTAGTGTATGTTTTCCCGTATAAGGTTACCATTTTCTCTGTGATTTATAATTTTAATTATTCTATGCAAAGAGAGAAGTGGAGAATATACAAAATAATGGATGTTCAAGTGTATCTGCACAACTGTACTGAGATTTTCAACTTGGATTGTTAGAGAAATGAAAGAGCATAGCTTATCAGCAATGCTGAAGGTTTTATGTGTACATGGAAACTTTCTTTATCAATGAACTGATTTGAATTAGGGGAGTTTATTTCGTGGATTATTGTGTGATTGCAGGTTTCATAGTGCTTTCTTTATCTATTTCCTGGTATGAGTAATGGTTGGAGTTATCAAATTTAATTTGGAACACCTACTAAAGGTATTAGTGAGATCTCCTGCCTCTTTTATATATGTGACTATACATTATCATTAATTTACACACTTTTCACATATTTACCAATTCAGAAATTAAATATGCATAAGTGCATAAGAGTTCTCCCTGGTTTCCATATGAAGACAATGAAAAAACCCTTCGTTGTGATCATATGGACACCATTCTCTAGAGATTGTTGCAATCATTGCAATGAAAAATATAGCAGCATGTGCAGAGTATGTAACTGTTTGACCCAGGTTCTCTCAGGAATGTTGTCTTTCTGTAGCCATTGTGATGATCACATGGAAACTAGAAGACTTAAGGTTTGCTAAACATTTTCTGGAGTGATCGTAATGATCACACGGAAACCAGCATTCTAGCATACTCATAAGTTTGGTAAGAAACAAATACATTAAAAACTTCATCAACTCATGCACTAGGTTCGATTACCAGCCACTGGAAAGGAGCCCACAGAAAGGTGGATTGCACTCAACAGAGCAGCAGAAATCACATGGACATGGACATAACAGCTTACAGACCTTCACTAACTCGAACTCAGTTATCTCAAATTCAAATGACTTTCATTCATTTACGATAGCATATCCCAGGGGAAATGATTTGAGCTCGAGATTCCAGAGAATTTGAAATAACCAAGTGTGACATACATGTACGGAGGTTCTACTGTATTTTACCTGAACAGCAGATGCTCCGCAATGAAGAAACTGTAATGCTGCTTCCGCACTGTCAACTCCTCCAGTAGCCAGGATCGGAAACCCAGGTAAGGCTCTTCCAATAGCAGAAACAGCTCGCAATGCAATGGGGCGAATTGCATTCCCTGACACACCACCATATGTGGTCCTTTGTTCCTTTCCAACTGCTGGCCAAGCAGCACCATTTGGCCGCAAGCCCATCAAGCCAGACACTGTGTTGGTTGCAGTGACACCATCAGCATGGCCTAAGAAAAATTTAATCAAAGGTTCCTTAGCATCAGCTCTATCGTATGAGTCATGACACCAACCGTAGAGGTGTCATAAAAACTAAAACAACCACAGTTTTGGAACCTCATTGTTTACAAACATTTAACATGGAACTCTTGCATTCAAAGAGGGGGTCACTGGGGTCCACTAATGAAACCACTTCTACATTGAAGGTATGTAACATGCTAGTATGTGATTGCAATAGGCTACTTTAGATGTATTAAAATTTGGCTTGACAATGAGGCCCAGAGGGACGAAACAAGAACTTGCAAATTCAATTTCCTTGCTTCTGTCCTCTAGGCGTTGCTGCTAGACTGAATTTTAATATTTCGAAAACCCAAAATTTTGAAGCCCAAAGGAGAGGGCGCGAACGGGACACTCAGGCCCATGTGAGGCTATTACCCATAAAATAAATAAATTAAATAATTAAATAAGCTAACTGTGGTGGCACAGGCAACTCCGTGAGATGGATCACGTGCACGAGATCTACATCATAAACTGACGTTAAAAGGGACTTAAAAATATTTATCAATCAAAGGAGACCTATCGTCAAACTCGTGGATTAAGTAATCTAGAGATGAAACATGTTGGTGAACTTGCAATTACTGGTGTATTTTTAAGGGCTGTTAAAACAAGCCGTGTTCGTACCATGCAAGGTTGCACTTATCTCACAAAGCGTAGGCTTTTTTTTGTTGGCTTTTGTTGCACACATTACAGAATAGCTAGGGTGCCAAAATTGCAGCTGAACAGAGAGTGGTAAAGGCTAAGGGTTCTTGGGTCACAGAGGACACTTAGTGCCAAAGAAATCATAGAGTACTCTCCTCCCTCCCNAATTTTTGGTTAAGGATGCTACCTAAGGTGGTTGATCCTCAGTATTGCATTGCAAATGTGTCCCAAAAAAGTCTGGAAATTTGCAGTAGTGTTTCTCTGCCTCTACGGCCTCCATGTAACCCTGTAAGTATTGTACTATATAGTACTTACAGGGCTACATGGAGGCAGTACAGGCAGTACAGGTAGAAAAACATGATCTACTCTAGTCTAAGGCCGTAGAGACTGTACAGGAGCTGAGAAGCTCTGCGCTTAATTTCCAGACTATTTTGTGCTGGGTATAAAAAGAAATTCATCAAACTCTTTTCTTTGTTCTCTGAGAATTTCGTTAACATTTTCATTGAACCTTATATACAGTACACTTACCTTAACCTGTATCCTACGCTACAGTGACTTCGTGACGAATACAAAGTAGCACTGCTGTCAAATTGCTTTCTCTAATACAATTGTTTTATGAAGTCTCTCACTCGTTCACAATCGAAACGTTTGCATAAACAAACTTTTAATTATCATCATGTCTTTTACTTACTCACAGTCAGCAAGATTTTAGCATTTCACTTTCCCTCACTCATGCTAGAAAACACCAAATATTTTCATGTAATATTCTTTGGTAATTAACTCCTTCAACTTATCATCAATCAGAATAGAAGACCTTTTGTTTACTTCAGCTCTTACTGGTGTGCGGGCAGGCTGAGGGTGGATTTTACTTAGCTTAGAGCTTCTCGTGCTTCTTGTGTAAAGTCAGTTTCATCTATTACTGTCAAATTCTCTCTGCAATTCCCAAAAGTCTTGAATGAGCTCTAGAAGCAATCACAGAAAAAACTGTACACCAGCTTGTCAAAGGAAAAACCATCCGTTTGTCTAAAATGTGAAGATTATCACTCACTCTTCCAAGTGAAATGGGAAACAGAACCAATATCAGTTCAATCATGATCCAAACATTGTTCCCCCCGTCTTTGCCAACAAATGAAATAACTTATTGAAAAGTCCCTGTCCATAAATATGAAAAATAACTCGGCAAGGATCGACAATTCAGTTTCGCTCATATTTCTATGGTAGATAGGCTAGGGCATGACAAAAGCTACTAGATATTTTTTTTGGCAAAATATCCTTTTATTTTAAAGAGAAATGCAAATTACAAAATCCATGAAAATTGTCATTTGATGCACCATTTTATTAAACAAGTTTGAGAGCCTTGCATGCAAAACCACATTATTCTTCTGTCTTTAAAACACTCAAATATTTTTGAACAATGTTTAAATATGTACTAGCTTGATTTCGGGGAATGTTGCATTTCCTTTTCTGGTGCAAAATAATTAAATTTTGAAGATAGGTATTTCATTCACTTAAAAGTACTTGGTAAATATAATTAATTTTCACCATGTGTGAAACCTTGAATTGGATAAAGCTTCTGGTGGTTGAATCACAGAAGGATGGCCTACAGATTCCTGTAAAAATTTCTTTGGGCAAATGATTGTAAGTGATGCGAGGGCTTTTCAAAGTACGTTAAAAATGCAACTCTTTGACCTTCCATCATTAAATTTCAATTTACAGGTTTATAGATATATATATTTTAGCATGTGCCACATCACTTGAACCATATTAAGTTGTAAAAGACATAGCTGATAATTTCGAAATGCTCTAACCTTGCTGCAAAAGGCAGGTCCAAAACCGATTTGACGTGTTTCTCTCACCATTCGTCGCACATACATGTCAAGCAGTGAAGTTTGTTTCTGTTTACACAACATCCAATGCGTACATCGCCAACTGTCAACCTATTTAATGGTCGAATACCATGAATCTGTGCCCCCTCTCTGTAACACGATACAAGCCTATGCTAGCGCTGATTGAATATAGATTGAGATATTGGCATATTGTGACATCCTCCTGTTTTGAAAGTGTCTCCTAGTTACAGTTCATTTAAAACCTGAGACTCACGGTTAGGTGTCCCATCATAAAACAAGCATTTGGTCGATATTGCTCTCTGACTATAATAATAATAGAAAAACAAAACGCTAATAAATGTTCTTTGAATGTAATCTTTATATCGTCTCAGACCTGTCTGCAAACTGTTCAGGATACTGTTTATGTTGTCATGTAATCCATTAGATAGGCTGGTTGCCGTCTGGTGCGCTGTGGCGGTACTGGACTCTTAGATGCAGCCGTAGGAGGTTCGCTGGTGGTGTCAGAGGTGTTTGGTGTTTCTGTATGGGATACTTTTCGTGTGATCTTGGTTGGTGATGAGCTGTCGCCAGTATATCTCACAGGTGTTATGTGCGGTATCGTCGGGGCGTCAGGACTCTCTTTGGTTTTCCTCAGGTGGTAACGGTTCCTTCTGCATGTCTCTCCATCAGGCGTTTCCACTACATAGGATCTCTAATCTAGCCGTGATATGACTATACCTTTCTACCACACCTCAGTTCCTAGTTGAAAGGGTTTCATTTGTACAACATCGCCTTCTGCAAGGGTGGGCAAGTCATGAGTGTGTTTGTTGTAGTATTTGGACTGCTGTGCTTGTCGCTTTGTCAGGTCTTTCATTTCTCGGTCTGTTTGTGGTGTCCTGGGCTGAAGGAGGGCTTTCGTCATCGGAAGGTGTGTTCGTGTTCTCCTGTTCATTAAGCGTTTTACTAGGCTTGACTCCATTCCTTGGGTCAGTGCGTTACCATAGTCGAGTATCGCAATGTACGGGTCCATTCTGGAATCCAAGGCTTTCCAGATAAGGTTCTTTGCTGTTTCACTGCTGATTCCACTTTCCCATTTGCTTTACTGTTGCCAGGGCTGTTGGTTCTGTGTTCGAAGTCCCATTCTTTAGCAAACTTGGTAAACTCTGATGAAGGGAACTGCGGGCCATTGTCACTGGTCAGGCGGTCAGGGCAACCGTACCGTGCAAAATGGTTTTTGAGTTTCAGGATTATGGCTGCTGAGGTAATACTTGTTAGGCGGTCGACCTCCCAAAAGTTGCTGTAGTACCATGAATGTTTTCTAGTTTAGCTCGAACAAAAAAGATATCTAGTAGCTTTTGTCATGCCCTAGCCTATCTACCATAGAAATATGAGCGAAATTGAATTGTCGATCCTTGCCGAGTTATTTTTCATATTTATGGACAGGGACTCTTTAATTAAGTTATTTCAATTGTTGGCAAAGAGGGGAGGGTGGGGGGTAATGTTTGGACCATGATTGAACTGATGTTAGTTCTGTTTCCCATTAATTTTCGCTTGGAAGTGAGTGATAATCTTTGCTCCGCATTTTAGACAAACGGATGGTTTTTCCTTTGACAAGCTGGTATACCGTTTTTTCTGTGATTGCTTCTAGAGCTCATTCAAGACTTTTGGGAATTGCAGAGAGAATTTGACAGTAATAGATGAAACTGACTTTACACAAGAAGCACGAGAAGCTCTAAGCTAAGTAAAATCCACCCTCAGCCTGCCCGCACACCAGTAAGAGCTGAAGTAAACAAAAGGTCTTCTATTCTGATTGATGAT